CCCCGCCTGCCACTGTATCAGAGGCAGCAGTACAGAGCAGTAGGGGAGGCTCCTCAGGATTGGGGCCAGGAGCACATTGGCTGCTGGCCCCACCTCCAGGGACAATCAATCCTTTGGTGTGGATACATAATTATTCAATTACACAATAGGTCTAACATCTCTAGTTTAGCATAGTGTGCAGCCTCCTACCTGTTTCTGTAGTGTGTCTCTGGACTGGTCATTATGCAGCAGTCAGACTGTTGCATCTAGTGCCTCAGGATTGGGGCCAGGAGCACATTGGCTGCTGGCCCCACCTCCAGGGACAATCAATCCTTTGGTGTGGATACATAATTATTCAATTACACAATAGGTCTAACATCTCTAGTTTAGCATAGTGTGCAGCCTCCTACCTGTTTCTGTAGTGTGTCTCTGGACTGGTCATTATGCAGCAGTCAGACTGTTGCATCTAGTGAAGCAGGAGTTCCTCCCAGGCTGAGCCACGCACTACTTACGAGCAAGCTTGGACAGCAGACTGTAACAGCATTCTATAAGGCTAGAACCCCGGACTGTAGCATTTTCTGATGAGTTGAAGGTGCCATTGAAGTTAGATGGTGAGGACTGGTGGGGAGGAGGGAAGAGTGAACGTGATGATAGGGTTGCCAGTTGTCCAGTTTTTTTGCCTGGACAGTACGTTATTTCTGACCCCTATCCGGTAAAAGAAAAAAAAATGAAAATACCAGACATGTAAAATGTTTGGTATTTTCTGTTTCTCTTGGACAGAAGGCTGGTGGAGACATTCATCCCCTGCTGCATCTGGCAAGGGCAGGGGGAGCAAGGGGATATTTAAAGGCACAGCAACTTTCCCCTCCTCCCCCAACCAATTTTTTTTCCCTGCCATGTTCGGGATTGTGTGTGAAAGTATCTGGCCACCCTACATGAGAATGCTCTAGAATTGCCTTGCAGTAAATGCCTTCAGCGCTAGCTGACTACGCCAATACTCCAAGTACATTGTAGATTTCTGATCCACCAGTCTCCAGTTGAATTGGGGCCCGTCTCTGCCAGGACTGTATCCGTGCTGTGAGATGATTTGGATTTTGGAGAAGTTTCAGTCACCATTCCTGTATCCAAAGCAGCTCAAGTTGCAATGCAAGATCAGTACCAGATGCTTCTGGTTTAGGTGCATGGGCTTCCCACGTAGAGTTAAATTTTGTGTGTAGCAGCCACTGCTAACAGCTCCTGCATCCTTTCCTATCCCTCAGACAGGCTATAGCACCATCCTCTCGAATCCTTGGCAAATTGCTCTGGCTTCGCAGTCCTGCATATTACAGGGACTCAAGACAGAGCCCTAAGCTAAAATTTAATTAGCTGTCCCCTGTTGGTTCCATATGTATGGTCATGGCTCAGACAGGTGGGAGCATACTGGATGAACCAGTCAGAAGCAAGGAGCACAGGAACCTCCCATGGCATTTGCCAGTGCACTTTCAAGAGTTGGGAGAAATACCCACCCTTTCACCTTCAGGTTGAAGGGTTGGGTCTTTTGCTAAGAGTAGTTCCTTCGGGTCTGCTGTAGTGACCTTACTGCAGTCAGCCTGCAACACATGTTCTGGTTTTCTTTCTAGGGGCAAGGACTTGAGGGCGCAGCACGAGCAGAGAGTTTATGAGCGTGAAATGCAGCGCATCACCCTTCCACTTTCTGCCTTCACTAACCAGGCCTGTGAGCTTGTGGATGAGAACACGATAGTGGTGCACACCAACCAGACCCCTGTGGAGGAGGCACAGAATGGCAATGCACCACTCATGGAGCAGGCGGGTACTCCTGGTGCCTGAAGAACTAGGGCCGGGAGAGGCATAGGTTGGAAGTATCCAGGCTCTCTTGTGTCCCAATCTCTTGTGTTGGGACCAGGGGTTCATTTGTATTTTTTTGTTGATGAATTCCAGCAATTGACAGAACTTACAGATGCACTGAAATGGGGGCTGTTCATTGTAGTCCATGACGGTGACCATTGTGTGGCTAGCAAGACTTGTTTCACATACAGAGTTGTAGCTGCAGCCTCAGGTAACTCCTCTCATCTCCAGGGCGTGTTACAGCAGGGGAGAGGGAGTGGTTTCTCAGGCTAGTCATGTGCTACCCAGGCCCCACATCCCATATTCAGAATGTGGATTCTTAGCTTCCTCTGTCCCGTACCCTTCCCTTTTGACCTGTGCAGTGTTACTTGCAGCTGAGCCTGTACTCTGACACAGGAGCAGTATTGTCGGGACTGGAGGAGCTTCCTCGCAGGGTTATGCAGAGAACTATTTGAGACTTTGAATGTAAAGTTACTTTAGCAGACTGCTTGAGAAAAGCTATCCCGGGCAAGTTTCTCCTTGAGAATGGCAACAGTCAGTGGCAACCACCCATAGGGTACATGAAGGGTGAGGTTTCCTCCGGGAGCTAAGGTTTTTGGTTAAAGAGGAGAGAGATGGTTTAGCTCCCGTGTATTAGAGATCTTTTGCAAGATGCTCATAAGCCCAAGTCTTCCAAGGGGCCAGGCCACACTCCTGCTTTCCTGGGCTGGTACAACAGGAACCTGGTTCCAAAACATCCACCTGGTGTGTGTATGTGGGATTTGCTTCAGAGTGATTTACAGCAGGAGGGGAGCAGAAAGTGGAGTGAAAGAAGACAACCCCTCTGCTTCAGGGAGAGCAGCCAAGTACTCTTGGCTTCTTAAAGGGAAGAGAGCCATTTCTGACTTTCAGACTTCCCCCAAGGAAACGAGAGATTGAGCCAGGCCTGGGGTGAATGTAACTGGACAGCACTTGGCTGAGGGAAGGACAAAGCAGTAGCTATGCTCAGGGCTGCCCAGAGGATTCAGGGGGTCTGGGGCAAAAGCAATTTTGGGGGCCCCTTCCATAAAAAAGGATCAGACCTCCGACATTCTTGTGGGGGCCCCTGCAGGGCCTGGGGCAAATTGCCCCGCTTACCCCTCTCTGCTCCCCCCTGGGCGGCCCTGGCTGTGCTGCAGGCTCACCAAGGCCTTGTGCATCCTGTTCTGTGTCCCTTCCATAGGCCACAGGAGAGTTTACACTGCAGAGGCTGTTTTTATCTAAACCGGCTAGGTTGCACAAAGATGTTAGCATAGGTGTATCAACAAGCAGCACTTGTTCCCCAGAGGGGGGTTGCTGGTGATTTATCACCTACCTAGGGCTAATTCTAAGAAATGCACACCCCTATCTCTGCAGCAGGGCTCAAGCCATCCAAATAAGCTTTTCTACCCATGTACTTTAAGGGGACTCATTGTGCAGAGTACCATGTCAATGTTTGTATGGTCCGGAAAAGGGAATTTTTTTAAAGCTTTTGAATACTATTTGTTTGTACATATTTTAAATACCTCATGATCAAGATGCAGATTATTCTGCTTGTATTAAAGCTTAAAAATGAAAATAAAGGCTCTGTGGAAACCTGAGTGATCAGCCAGTGTCAAAGTTGCTAACACCTAGGACAAGCAACCGGTTTAGCGCACGGTTCCGAACAGGCTTCAGCTTCTGGGTAGGGATGTTAACATTGCAGTCTGCTGACCAATCATAAGCTGGTTAAATGTGTAGTCAGTACGGACCACTCTGCAGAGCCACAGCAGAGGTAGCTCCAGGAGCTGGCTCAAGCCAAGACTGGCAGTCCTGGCTCGTGCCAGCCCCAGAAGTCACTATTGCTGCGATTCTGAATTTTAAATGTAGTAAGAGCGGCCAGGCTCCTTCAAGCCGGGACTGCTCAGATGTGGCTTAAGCTCAGTCCAGCAGCCCCTGTTCATGGCCAGTGCTGGCAGCAGCCAAGGACAGCGCCAGTGCATGACCAGCCTGGGCTGCTGCAAATGGGGCTGTTTGGCAGCAGCAACCTCTACCCACGGTGAGCCTCCCCTGCCATGGGCAGAGGCTGCCTCTTTCTTCCCTGTCACTGCCTGATGGGAGGAGGGGGGGGAAAGAAGCAGGCCGAACTGCAAGAGACAGTGCTGGGGGTTCCCTTGCTGCCTGTGAGACAGAAGGGAAGAGGGGGGAAGTGAGTAGTCAATACTCCAGTCAACTACCCAATTAAGCTTATGTTCATCAGATAGTCAGCTACCTTGCTAACATCCCTACATCTGGTAACTTAATTGCACAAGCAAGCTAGTAGCATTACATAAGCCCACGCAAGGTCCTCCACCCCAAAAGGCAAAGCAGTGAGAGGAGATTTTCGTAGTTCACTCTTTGCTTCATTCAGAGCTACAACCCCATCCTCCCCAAGTCACCCAAAAAGCCACAGAGGATGAGTTCAGCTATAGCTAATGCCATGGGATGTTGAACCCGTAGACACACTGGCAAAGTCTAGCAGAGTGGAGCATTCTTAAAAAAACCAAAATATCTACTCCGTAGGCCAGAACTAGCTGCTGTAGCTAAACAGACTGTCTCTATAGATGCCTGATCTAACAATTATTCCTTTCCAGCTCTGATGCACGTGGATTCTGTTTTACTTCCTGCTCAGGGGCAGCTCCATTCCTCTGGCTCTTGCTTTGGAAAGAGCAGGGTCTGCACAAAGTCAGAAGCTTTGTAGAATGGACTAAGAGCAGGCAGCACAGCTAAAGTTCAGGTGATCTCACAACTGGCCTGAGTGTAGCTGTCCCACTTTTCTAGCAGAACGTAGTCCTCTAGAGCAGGGGTTCCCAAACTTTCAGTCCCTTTACCCCCTTGGCTTTTAGTAAACTTTTCTGTAGCCCTTATTCAATATGAAAGGAAATACATTCTAGAGTCTAGAATCCACAAGTTCTCACTAACACTGCTACTTTTGGAATATTTCCATTAGGATAATCTAGTTATTTACCAAATATTCCCCATACCCCCTTGACAAGCTTCTCGTACCCTCTGGGGGTATGCG